ATTCTCCATAAAATCATGCAATAAATTACAAGTTGTGTAATAAAACTAACTGACGTCAATTTGCTTGACTGTCGTAGTTTTTTCATACCATTAAGCACAAGGTTAATGACAGTCTGAAAGCTTCGCTACAAGGACCATAAAAGGAATGTTTGTGCCTGGAGCAGTTCGGACATCTCAGAAGTATGACTTAACTCTACAAGTGGGCCTAATCGTACTCATCAGAGCTGGGTACATTTTCACGCAGGCTATGGGTGAAAATTGTATTCAATTGTGCCCACCACAAGTCATTTAAAGTTCTCGCTTTAGTGTTTTTGTTTATAGAATCAAAATTTTCAGATCAACCCGCGTCTCTGATACCATTTTCATCTCTGTAGCAAAGGTTTCCAAACCGCCCAATAAAAATTACTTTAACTGCAGTCTGCTCAATCACACACCTTTTCAAAATATCTATTTTTTGTTAGCCGTAAGCAATTATGCATTAAAAGAATCAATATTTGAGGCTAATTAGGCCAGTATCGGAACACTCACAGCTCCAATATGAATTGGTGGATTGCGTCAGATTTCAAGTGAACAATGGAGAGAATGTTGACAAGCCATTGGTTGTAAGCTCAGCCAATCGATGATCAAGCTATATTTATATCCCTAATTTCATACCCATGTTGTGCACGAATGTAACCAGTGCTTGTGCCTTCCATTATAAAATATGACGTAAAACGTCCACCACAATTGATAACATGATTACATATCTTCTGCTGGCCCTACATGAGATAGACATTCCCTATAGGCTTCTGAGTCTTCGAAAATATGGTGTTGAGTTAAGGTTACTTGATTGGTTTTCATTTCACCACTCGTGACTGTTCTCAATCAATCGAATCCTACATTTTACTTTGTTTCACCTCCTCCGTGGGATAAACTCGCCTAGCCACAGGCGTTGCCATAGCAACAGCAGATTGTTGCTCCGATGGCTCGGGCAACGCCCCTGGTCCTCAATAAGGCTTTGTAAACATCGAATTTTACAACATTTTAAATAAATTTTGCCTGTCTGAAAACTAGTTTCCATGGCAGATTTATGTGTTTCCAGCCTAGATATGCTTGGATGTTAGCATTACCTTGATATGCAAATAGGGTTTAGATTTCAAGGTGATATTAACATGTGGTTAACGAGATATCCCGGAAAATTTGGGGCGTTTTGAGGTTTTAAATGTTCTCTTTATTCAAACCAAGTATGACTAAACTGAATGTATACTACGAGCAGCAGTGAAATGCATTTGAAGACTCCGACGTTTCTTAACGACTCTAAATGGTTTCCGTCTAAACAGAACAACACATTGGACGCTCATGGCAACGCCATCTTAAAAGGTATTTGTAGAGGCAGACTACATTTTAGTGGTTTGAGAAACACAGGATGGGCCTTAATTTATGCAAGAACGTCTGCTCAATACTGAAGAAGTGTAGAGATGTGGTTCAATGAAATGCGAAAACTAGGAGTTCATATGCAATAACTGTTTTATCTGCTTGTGGAGGCAAGCAAAGCCAATCTCTGAGTAAGCTGGGTAAAAGCACATTCAGTGTGATATCAAATCCATAAAGTTATTGAAAAAACTATTCTTAAATCTGGATGAAAAACAACGAAACCAGAATGCGTTTCTGGTTAACTAAATCTCTTACTGCTTCTTTCGTCTCGCTTTGAACAAATAAATGAACCCAAATAAATTATTTGAGAGGCTTTTTTATGGATGAAAGCTACTATATAAATTTTTCTAAGGAAAATCTACGGTGTAATCATCGAAACCTGAGTAATTAGCACTGCTTGGAGTCCCACTAAATGCTTCAGACTGCGTCGTTTTCATTCTTTCCAGAGTTGTGATGCACAAACCCTAATCCCTGACAGTCAATTATTGATACTACTTAAATATCCACCAAGAGAGGCTGCCCAAAACTAAATTATTAACAAAGATTGGTTTAACGTTTCGAATACATGAAAGCTTCATAAGAAAGTTAATGACGCAGGTTTACCTTCTTTTCTAATTTTTTCCAAAACACCATAGAGCTAACAAGGGCAAACGCAGCAAACATGATTTCTTTGTTTTTGCATCATAACATACACTTTAAATAAAAAAAAATTGGTTTTAAAACGAACAAGGAAAAGCCAACATGGCATGGTCTGGTCTTATTTTTAATCAATTTTAAGAACGAGTTTTGTTAAGAGCCAAAACATTCCTCAGAAGTAAAGTAAGTTTGTGTGTGTGACAGCGGATGTAACTTACACCTGAGTGAATCATTATGTACATTTAAAAACCCTCTTTAATAGAAGCTGCATTGTCGTGAAATTGGGGAGAGTTAAGATGACAAGTCCAAATCGTGGATAGGCGAAGCCTCCTACGCAACCTGAACTTTCATGATGAACAATGTGTGATGAAGAAATTCGAACTCCCACTAGCGTAGTGACGTTACTGACTAAGATAGTTCCTCTCCGACAATGTCCAGAATTTATCGAAGTTGAAATAAGTAGAAAAAATGAATGAGTGAGTTTGCCTAACAAATTTGGCAAACGTTAGTATCTGGAAATGCTATTTATGATTTCAGGAGGAGAAAATCCTCAAGGTGAAAATGTTAGTACAAGCCGGAATATCAGTAACTGGTGATTTTAAGAAAAAAAGCTTTTATAACAACAGTTTTAATATGAATGGAATGTCCTCTTTACAAACACCAAATATAACAGAATAGTTAAAATTGCGAGAGTACTCAGAGTAGGTAGTCAAAATGTCGCAAAGTGAGGTTGCATTACGGGGTCATACACAGTCTGGATGGGGATTTCGACCACCGGTTCACAATTCAGTCGCCTTTTTGGCCAAAAACACGGCAGCGACAATAGCGCCTATTTCGATGATGCCAAGGACAATGACGGTGATGGCGACACCCACGAGGTTATTCTTTAGTAAATCGTAAATTACGTCGACACATCCCTAAGACAGAACACGCAAATTAGGTCAAAAGACAAGTATGAAGATTCTAGTGTACAGTTTTCTAGGAATATCCATACCTGTGTGAAGTAAGTAGTAGTGCAGTTGGTTTCGCCCTTCGGGCAACAGTACTTGGTTGCATTTTTCCAATCGGAAGGGCCATTGGCTCCGCAACATTTTAACTACAGGAGCATTAAAATAAGGGCGAAATTACCTCCTGCTGCAACTTGGTGACTGCAGTCTCCACTTTAGGATTCCCGATATCTTGAACTTCCGAAATCGCGGATGCAAAGTAGCTTTTTACGTAATCCTTCACCTAAAGTCATACAATGATAACCCAAGCAACGACACCAAAATTACCTTTTCCTTGTAGACAAAAAGAAGTGCGCCACAGACTATTTCCGCAATCACCAGCACTCCCACAAGGAATGCGAACTAAAGGTACATAATTGAGTGCGTGGACAGGGTTACCAGTCGAAGGAAGCATTTGTTCAGTTTCCATGCTCCACAGCAGCCGAGGAAGCCAATCAGAAGTACAACAATCCCCAAAACCAGGACGAAGACTGGTATTCCAAAAGCCGCTCCCGTCAATTCATACTCCTTTGCCTTGACTACAAGGTAAGCTCCGAATCCAGTGGTAACACAACCGACAATCTAGGTGACCACTGTAGACCAATCAGACACTTACAAATATCACCAGGTTGAAAGCCACGAGGAGAAAACGGAAGCATTTGGCTGTACACGAAACTGCCATTGTGTAGAATTACCATGAGGTTCGAGTGAGATGGGCCTACGCTTAAATATTCATGTCTCAGTCCGCGGTCTAACGAATGACAAGACGCCCTTGAGAATTGCATAGGCAGTCTTCACGCACTACCACCAATCAGCTTGGCGCACTTGATACTTGAGAGTTACATGTGATCACTTGGTAAATTGGGTAAATATGCATCGTACGGAGGTGGAACTAGTCAAATTTGGCTAGAGTACGACTTAAAATATCCCTAGGTGTGATTTTTTGTGGTGAAAAAATAAGTGATTTTGTCATGTGAAGCCAAAAAGTTGTTATATGGAGATAACTTCAGTCGGAATGTTCGGTCAATTTTTGTTTACCGCGAATCTTATTTGTGGGGATAGAGGACTGTGCTTGTACATGGGAGAGTACAAAGACAGTGCAAAGCCAGACTTTGTTTTTAATTTTTTTTTTTGAAAAATAGGAAGCTTTGGAACTCAGCATTACTGTTTCCCTTTTTTACAATTCATTATCTGACCACAAACCTGGTCTATGAGCAACAGGATAAGCCTGTGTAACAGTAACAAAAGAAATGTATTGTGGTGGCTTGACCAAGCTGGTGGCAAAGGCTGATTTGAAATTAAACAAAGAGGTCTGTTGCTGTTAAACGTTTTTTTTTCATATCACAGCAACAATCAATTCGTTTTGCTAGTTACTTTTTCTCTCATTTACCCCTATCATTGACTTCGAATTTCACTACGACAAGACTGCAGTTTCTGTGCGTTATAAATTGGAGCGAGTATTACTACGACCTGTCTTCCATCTGCATTTCTGAGTTCTCACATACCAATGCAGCACTCCTGATCCACGTCGCGTTTTCTCATCGAGTTAATTGGATTGCCACTTCGACCGCTCTCGTCAAATTAATTTAACGAGCCATCAGCATGAACCTTTTGTGAACTCCCAGCGTTTTTCTAATCAATCATCCTGGTCGCTGCCTCCCTCATTATGTAGCCATGTGAGTGCGTTGACTCTCCGTAGCTTTCAAATGGTTATAAAATCGTGAGAAACAAAATTACAAAAAGGTAGTCAATGAGGTGAGGTGATAGCTCAAGATGCAACCGTGCGAATTATGTTTAGTAAAACGTGTGGGCTGAAAAGTATGCGGGTGCAGAAAACCCAAAACACTTAATTAGGCGTCTTGAGTTTTGTTCAAACTCCATCGCGTACCGATCCGTGTGGATTTTGATGAGAGTGGCATCAATGAACGGCGATTGGTGGGCTGTTACTGACACCCCGAGCTGAGGGAATCGCACACGTCAAAATCACTAGATTTTAGTGACTTCCAGATTATAAATAAAATTGAGTAGTAAAAGGGTTCCTCAGAAATCCTAAGTCCCATTAAGGTCAGTACAGGTCCTTTTCAATCAGTATTTACATCTGCGATTTCAAACTGCGGAAAAATACCTACACAAGTAGTGTTAACGAAAAATTTCGGGAATGATAATCTTAATAATACAAGGCTGTCAGAGCAGGGACATGTTGTGATAATTGAGTGGAGGAAATGGGGCAAATCTTCAGGATTCATTAACAGACAAGAACAAACAGAAAATATCACAATCAATACATGATCTCCGACTGATTACTTACTAACAAACAGAATTTATCAGCACCCTTTTACTGGCAGAAGGATCGTAATTATTTTTTTTTGTAATTTTCAGTGACATTTTAAGCAGATTACCAAAATTATTAAAGAAATATATTTCCTGATAGACCTACTTCGATTTGTTTCGTAACCACGGTGATGGGCGATACAGGAGTGAATAGGCGAATATTAGATTATACATTTTTGAATGAGACATCTTATGGTCTGCGAAATAGATTGGCGTATTTCTGCGCGAAACCCGGAGTAGCAAATTATTGTGGAACTAGGCTGTCTATTTCAGTACAATATTGATTGAAGTTTTTTTCCTGCGGATCAAATCAGTCAAAAACGTCATAGATCACTCCTTTAAAGCATGATTATTCTTTTCGGGTCTATACCAACTTCACATATGGCTCAGGTAGTCACCACGTAGTGTTACAAAACATCTGTTGAAATGACCTTCGAGTCAGACATTGCAAGAACTAGTTACATACTGTAACCAGAGAATGGCAAGCAAAATATTCACTAGCTTTCCTGAGATATACGTTCCTTGAGCCAAAACTCGCAATCATAATATGTCAACGAACCTTGGCATGAATGAGCTTCTTAATGATGACCACCATTTGCTGTGACGAAGCAGCGAACGCAATGTGAGTCTTAATTTAGCTACTCAAATTGGAAAATCAAACCCCAAATCTAGGCTGCATAAAAGCCACTCAAACTTGCTTGGGATGAGGGTGAGCTAAGACTGCAGTTTTGAGCTTTCTAACACGGGTCATCCAAAGTGCAGTTGGGAGTTGGTGGTTGAATTTTTTTGCTTTTAAAGCACATTAATGCGAACCTAGATGGTTACGCTAGCCCAATATGCGTAGTATTATGCCAAATATATACAATCGCCAGCAATATTTGTATCTAGAATTTGTTCAGTGAGAAGAAAAATAATGCAGACTACCAAACTACGGCAAAATTTCTAGTGATTCTGTTGTATCGAAAAAAAGTTGATTCTAGTAGAGGATATTAAAAAAACCAACGAGAGCGATTAGCAACGACTACAATAAACGAAGCAAATGCTACACGTGTACGAAATCTGGTTTGGGATAATCGAATTTACAACACTTAATCTAGCAGATCTAAAAACCTCAGTCCACGAAAAATATATCCAATTTGACCCGAGAATAGTTGTCCAGAATATGGCCTTGTCGAGGAAACAACTGTTCTTGTAGGTTTATCCGACATTAAAACAGGTTTTAAAATGTTGTCAGTGGTTATTGGGGAGACATTCCAGTGGAAGTGAATAAAAAAACTTATTTCAAAATTGTAGTAACGAAAATTATTTGAACGGAACGATGAAGTATAAATAATTATCAAAGATCCCTGTGATTGAGGTTTTGGAGCACGATAAATGGAACGTGCATTTAACTCCTTCGAAAAAAAAACAATCACAGAATCTAAGTGAAAACACAATGTTTCGCTTATTTCCACGCCTTATCCATGACTTATAAATGTGGGAGACTATTAAGACAACCAGGACTGACTCCTATGTTTCGATGTGCTGCAGTACAACAACGTTACAATGGAATAATTTTGGGCGTGGACACACCAACTTGGATAGTTTAATGCTGTACAGTTCAAAATAACTAAGTTCTTTTTAACAAAAGCAAGATAAGCTTTCTGACAAATGCTGTACCTGACGCACATTTCATCTACGCCAGAACGTAAACCCGTACAAATTTTTACGCCCACGACCCAACAGAGAGTGCTTATGTGGCGTTGAGTCCCGACAATCGGCGTTTCTATTATTGGCTGCAATAGTTAAAAATCTCCGGCAATATATTTCAGTTATCCAAAGATTAAGTCACTTATTTGGACAAGTGATTGGTGTAACTTTGAAGGAATATGCATCAAGTAATCGATGAACGTTGCACGCGCACCATAAAACGATATGTCTCTGGATCAAATTTTTACGAGAGCCTTAATGATTCAATAGCTCTCACAATCGCCCCTCGAAAGTACGAGCCTACGTGAACACGACCCACAAGGCTGATTTGCAGTTGTATGCGCTGCCTAGGTGTCGGGTTTGAACTAATAATCAATAGCCAGCTTGATCTAATTAAACGGCCTTAGAGTCATTGCAATGGGCTTGCCAAGAACTTGACCTTTTATACAGTTAATTCCGAAATTTGTATGGTGCAATATGAGACGAATCCCATGATATGTACACGGATATCCTACTGATCCTCTTTGCTGTTTTTCATTGGATTTTTCACACCCCGAATTGAGCACTATCAACTAAATTTCTTTGTACCTCCTTATAGTTCAACAAATATCTTTCAGCTGATATTGCGTGTGAAACTTGCAAAATTCAACACATCGGAGAGAACGCGTTCACCATAAGTTTTAAATTAGTAGACCCTTAAGCACATTCCTTCAGACGATGAATTAAAACATGTGAGACTTCAAGGAAACAAATTAAACGAAAGTAGCTTTACTAGCCAGGTGTTAAGCCCCGGTTCGAAGACGGCTGCCTTAGTACTTGAACGGCACATTATCAAGGTTTTGGTTAGTTTCTCCAAGAAACTAGCCCCAACTTCAGAATTCATTTAAGCACTTAAACTCAAAAATACTGCTTTGGCTTAAACCAAAATTAAATTATCTTTCAATGAGTTCAGATAAAATGGCTTTGCACATGCATTTCACACGGAAAGCTATTCTGATCTACGTATTCATACCCCTATTCATGCAAGAGAAGAAGCAAAGGTTAGACGATAAACAAAAACGCGCTGGTGCCTTTTATTCTGAGCACAGCACGAAATCTTTTTTAGCTAATGCCCTGCTTTGTTGCTACCTTTTGCTCAATGCTCATTTGTGCTGTACATGCTGATACTCGATCCAGCTAAAAAGGGTCAATATGGAATCGTAAAACATTTTGAAGTAGAAACTCATCGATCTTTTGCTAAAAGAGTGGACATTTGTTGAACTTTTGTTAGACACATCTACAACTTTCTGAGGTATACAAAGCAGTGATAAATCAAAGTGACTGAAACAATCTTTACAGCCAATGGCTTTAGGTAAGTAGGTGGTCTTTTCTCGTGAATGAATGCGAAGTGGTGCATATTGTCGAAGAATCCAACGCTAAAGCAATTCGCGGTAAACATGAGCCGAAAATCACTATAAAATGACCTTCAGGTATACGCGTGGATGAATGGGATGTGGGCGTGGGGGTGCAGTGCGCGCGAGGCGAGCTGAGAATCGCAAGGAGTCAGCTGTCATTTTTTGCCTTCTGAAAGCGAGGTCAAATACAAAGACTGCAAATCAAAGCGTTTTGCCTTAGTTCTCACCCTGAAGTGGAAAATCACAACCTTGACAATTTTCTCTATTCAGTGATACCAAAAGTGAGTTAGAAGCAACATCGATTGTGAAATCCCTTAGCCAGCAGATCTGCAAAGTTGGATATTTGCACTTGGCAACGTCCGGCATGTTCTCCATCCACACAACACTAACATTATCCAAATAAATGATCCCAAGGGAGGAATCATCAATCCTACTGATATCGACCTTCGACAACGTTATCGATTTGAGTCAGCGTGTATTCGACTTGTGATTGGCAATGTGAAGAAACCAATTGTTTTCACAATAATTTGGTCTGGAACACCCCAGCAGTAGGCGACTATTGCCCACATCATGGCATTCGTTGCGGTTCGGGAATAGCCCAGGAAACGAAAATCCTGCGATTGCACACCCCCATATTTTCACAGTTCCTTCAGTGTTTGGATTCTAAAACCTACGCAGAACATTCAGAAAGAAGACCAATAGGGATGTATCAACACTACCGAGCGAATCATAGTGTGTAAATGGACTAGTGAGGAAATCCCTCTCAATTGTGCTGCAGATCCCAGGAACATGCTGTTATTGAGGGGTCAGTAACAGCGATATCGGACCATTTGATAGTGAGTAGCCCACTCCCACAGTTTATATCGATTAGGGCCTGAAAGAGCAAGCTTTGGTGTAAGATTTTTTCAGCCATACCGGTCACGTACACATAAAATCGCAAGCAAATATCCCTCACTGGCTTCAGGCACTCCCGCATTGAGTGCATCAGGATCAATGGATCGATAGTTCGCCTCTTGCGTATTAAGGGCCCTAGTGCCTGGAATACCATGCTAATCACACAACTGTGGTTTTTGTTTGTCGATTTGTTTAATTAGCAACTCTGCACTAAGACACCCATTAATAAATCTAACCAACTGTTCGATGTCGCATAAAAGTGCAAACCTACAGTGACTGGAACCTTGGTGGATGTAGTGCGCATATTGAATCCACACTTAACGCTAATTACAAACTTACTTTAAATTATTCAAGGAAATGTCCACGTAGGAAACAATAAAGTTTGTAATTAAATCGGCTTCATTAGCGTAAAGATCATGTGAACTAGGAGAGTGATAGACATGGAGTGAACCACGTGCTTTAAGCAATCCCACAGATCCACGTACATTAGTGAAGGGCAAACTACCGATTAACATTGAATTTTCAACCAGTGCGCCTTAACCTTTGGTCAAACGTGGATTATCGAACAGTCAGCTGTTTCACTTTCCGAATAAGTCCAAAATCACCATCTAATCAATTGGGCGGACCTCACTACTTGCAAAGCTGCCGTATTTAAAATGTAAACATTCGTGTGCGATATACTTTCCCGTTTACTTCTGTCAATTTAAGGGAATCATGCATATAATAAAGTAATACAAGATGCCAATACATTCCTTTCGATTTACGAACTAAAGTCCACATTGGTAGGTGCTTTTGAAGGCTAATCCGAGTGTCAGATCAACGATGCTAGCGAGAGAGCTTCCTGTCTTGAAAGCTAGTCTGACTGATAACCGACTAAAATTTCGTTAATTTTTTTCCTGGTGAATGATACTCCACCGCTTCAGTCATTCTTAAGTTACCCGCTTATCGGAATGGAACGATTTTTACTAGACACACCCCTTTTTTACCTTGTTTTCTGTTCTGTGGCAAAAAACGGCACCGGCAAAGCAGGAGCGACTCGAGTGCTCGCTTATTTCTGCACTTTGACTTGGCCAACCACGCCTAGCGGACACCCAGTGTATGCGCTTGATGACGCCGTTGCTATAACACCACAAAGCACACTTACCCAATCTGTTCGATAAGAGAACGACTACGGCCGTAGAGGGTTGCCATAGTAACCAAAGCAGTAGAAACGACCCACACTGGGACACATTTAGTTCTACAGCATTTTGAGTCGCCGTGAGAACGTTTTTATGCGTTTGCCGAGCTCAGCACTACTACTACCTTTGCAACAATCACCATCACTGTTAATGTGGGGAATTTTGGCTTGAGCAAGCAGGGCAGTACAGCTCGATGAGAGCTTTTATGCCACAACGCAGCAGGGGGTCTGCTGGGTTGGCATCAAATTCGGAAACTACTTGCTCTTACTGTGGATCTCCTAGGGCCACATTCACACGGATTCCCTCAAAAAAAGCCGACCTAAGTATATTCACACAAAAACGGGTTCACGATTTTTAAATGAATGTATCAAACTAAGTAACTCGAGCTAGGCCCTTTCCTTGAATTTATTTGCCACCTAATTGTTAAAATGAAGACATGAATTACTACTGGCTTATTTAATATCGATGATTTCAGTAGTTGGGATGACCCCGTTACAAAGCTGATGTGCCTTAACGAGCCGACTACCAATCAATAACATCCCCAGTGAAAATCGCACGAATAGCCAAGTTAGCGACGCTTCACAGCGTGATCCGGGTGTTACCGTAAACGCAGATGCCTTGGGCCAAAAGGTATCAAATGTCGAAGTTGTGCAGGCGACCGCTACGCAATGCGCCTACTAGTGGTATCAAGATGAAAGTACACGGTGGATTTTTTTAAAATTTTGCTCCTTATCAAAGTGAAGTGATGGCAGACGTAAGACGCAACTCCAGAGGACTACGGCGGGGATGAACGCGAGTGGATGAAAACAATAGCAAAAAGGGCATAATTGGTAGGTCGTTTGACCTTCTCGTAGGCGTTCATGTCCCTGACAAGGTCAAGCCTACACCACTAAAACTGTTTCAAGTTTACCGTTTAAGCGGATCAAGACGGCTAAGCGAGTGTGGGTAGGGATTTGTTCCTAGAAGTGGAACTTAAGTGAGTTAGATGTAGATATTGCCTGCAAGAGGCCAGGATTAAATGTTTGTCATAATACGGCATAGCAATGAAGAGTTTGGCTAGCCATTTCACGTGTACACGTTCATGGACTAGACAAAAACACCCAGAGCGCGTCTTCATGTAAACCTATTTGAAAACCTAGATTTGAAACATGCAGCATACCATCAAGAGAGAATTCTTCTAACCGTGTTACCGATTTTGGATCTTGGATACACTTTTAATGAAACAAGATTTTGCGTGAACTTCATTCCAAGCAATTTCCTAGCAATGTAAATAAAGCAATATTTTGTTATTGCGATTGCTGCTGATAGCATGATAGGATGGCTCCACCGACCCGTTTCGCCAAAAAATGAGAAGCTGTGGACAAAAACGTGTACTTTAGAGGACGAGTTGACAATTCTCAGCGCTTAAGTATTACAACGCCTTCGAAAACCTAGTGTACGCGACGCTAGAATAAATACAGCCACCTTGACTGTTTAGTTCTTATGTTGGGGCAATATCGTACATAATTTACTTCCAGTCGCTAAAGAATGCAAAGAGATGAACGTGTTGACGGATTAAATCTAACGTATCAGGCTATTTACGCGAATGCTAGCTGGAAAAAAGGCACAGTTAGGAACCATTACTTTCACGACAACAATGTACTCAAGCTTATCACACAAAAGTCGCCGATTTTATAAATTTTACCCAATATGCAGGCACTAGTTTGAAAGGCAAACACGTTACCGCTCAGTCACGTGACAAAGGGAAAGCCCGACTTTAACAAAGAAACGCAATCAGTAAACCAAACGGCTACTACCAAAACATAAGTAAAAGGCTTATAATTAAAAAATATATATATTTACAAAACCGATAAGCAAACTGCGTAGCAATTACTTCAGACCTCCGCGTTTTTGGGTACTGATATAAAGAACTAAAAGGTGGTATAATTTTGTAAGCTATTACCATACCATTATTTCCGCGTATAAAAGCTTCGCCGTACTTGTTCTTTAGCTGACCTTCTACATACTCTTCTGTTTGTTCCAAAACAACATTCATGTAACCATCGAGAGAAATTAAAACACCACGGTAATCAGCACCGGAATTCAGTTTGACAACCACAGGTCGGCCGATGATCATTTTAAGAAAGTCTCGAGGTGTCTGCTTTTGTGACATACTTTTGCCTTAAGCTGAGAACGAGAAAGGCGTCAGGAAAATTAAATGCCAAAAATGGTCAATATAAATTGTGCATAGAAATTGTCAACAAAATACAGTGTTGAAATCCACACATTAAGACAAGAATGACTACGCGTGGTAGAGCTATAACAAAAGTTGCTGAATTCACAAACTAGGTCAGAAGACCAAGGCTGTAGCTTTCTGTGAACTAGTGGAACAAGAGAATCTACTAGCAAAAGCAGGAACAGTCACTAGAAATGCATGCGTTAAGAAGGAATGTAGTATAAAAACGATTCCATGAAAATGTCAGCAGCAGTGTCATGGAACATTGGTCATGCAGATTCAATGTGAAAACAAACTTTGGGATGTGTAGAATGATGCAATTACAAAAGTGTGACAATTTGTAAATTACATTAATCTACAGGAAACTACAGGCAATTCAAGTAAACAATAATTCTGGGCAGTCACAAAAAGAGAGCAACCGCGCCATCACTATTTGGTGATTATAAAAATTTATACAACAAAGTAACATCGAATACCTAGCCGCTGCCTACTCATAGCAAAAAACGACGTCTCATTATTAGGTAGATACAAAACCTTGCAGAGAACATAATTTAAGGCACAACGCTTTATGGTAACTTATTAAAGACCGAAGAAGTCAGTATAACGTCCTGGGAGAGTAAATCTAGTATAGCATGAATGCCAACGACCGTCATTAAAGTAGACTGCATTCTTATTAAGACGATTTACTAGCTTCTATTAAATAAACTTAGCTGACAAAATTGCGGTACTCAGAGCAAAGGAATCGCTTACAAAATCACGTTTTTCAGGATTGGCTGAATCAAATAGGTGCAAACGTTAAAAATGAACAAAATCTTCGGAGACATTAAAACAAACAAAATTAACTGCAACATTGTATTTATTCTATCAGTGTGAAGCTAAAAAACCTTTTGTAATTTTTAATAATGCAATTAAGGATACTGAAAACTCATATTAGAAAACTCTTGGAAATTAAAGACTTATTAATAATTTTAATCCAATGTTTTTTTATAAAACACTAACTTAGGTTCTGTAAATGTGTTAAGTAATCGTATTTTAAACGTAGCATTGTTTTCTTCATAGGGGTGCAAATTACCATTTACACTCATTCATGATTTTTTTCGATTTTTGATCACACATTCTGGTAAATTCATATAATTTGACTCTAAAAACCGTTTTACAGGTTTGTGATGCCTGCTTATTATATTTGTGCATTATTGGGCTCTAATAATTTGCTTAAATCTTATCAAGTAATTTAAGTTTGTAAGTAGGTTTGGTTCAAATGCCATTATTAACGACAATTAAGCATATTTTGAATGGTGTATATTACTATTTTTTTTAGAAATTGAATCAACTGTTAAACACTCACCATATTTGCCAATTTGTCTGTGCAAAAAAATTTTCTAATGATGTTGGCAGTGAAGCGCCAAGGCCTTTGCAATCAGGGTTATTCCGATGCACAATATCTCTGAAAGATAAGATAGTTAGTCCAATGGAGATTGTTAGAAACTCCAACTACAATTTCTAGCATTGACTGATCCTGCAAGTGCAGACATATTAAGCTGACTGTGAAGTCCTTCAAACGATCTACTTTAGATAAATAAGTGATTCTAGCACTCGAATTGATGGACGCAGAGTTACTCTATAAACATGTTCTGACAAAGAATTGTTGATGTCCTTTCCTACAATATCCTACACGACAATTAATTAATATTGGTAATGCATCGGACCAGTCAATGGGTGCTACTTTTATCATGGAATGCAATTTTCAGTCGGTGGTGTAAACACCCAACCACATCAGTGGTTGCTGGATAAAACGCTATTTTCCAAAAAATTCCAATATGAAAACGCGGTTTTTAATTCTACAAACATGCATCGTGTGAATGGTCATAGGAAAGAGAATTGGAAATACAGAACAAAGAAACACAAGATTCCTAAAAAAGTAGCAGGCGACGGTTTCAGTTGTAATGCATTTATTACAAACTACTGTAAAATGACAGAGTTTATAGCCAAATGAAAAATACTACAAAAAAGAGAACACTAAATCAATAGGCACATGTTAAAAATGAATTTTTGTGAATAGAAAATACCCTGATTGCTGCGCGTAGTGTCATTAAACTTTACGTCCCTGAAAACGAATACAGCGATTAGTCATTAAACCAACGTCCATGTATATGCAAGGCCGAGCAATGCTGTTTTAAATAAACCCACATTAGAGCATTTCCAGTAATTTTTGTGAAACCATAAAAAAAGTGTCAAAGTTTCCAGGTTTCGGCCATGATATTACATAATTCATCCTCTTGCACATGGAATTTAATTTGCTATTTAATGCTGACTCAGTATCCCTTTTGCAAAGGAGTTTTTGAAGCCCCTATGCAGTTTACTTTTAGGCTTTCCAAAGGTATCTACCATCTGTTGGCACTGTAATTTTCAGAAATGTACCATTTTTTGAATTTAAACATATCTCTGCGAGGTTCAATGTCTGTAAATAGAGCAAGCACATTCTCCAGGTCAATAAAATAACCACACGCGGCATTTATACGCAGAATGCAGTGTTATATTGTCATCGTCTCTACTTTATTCCTTCTGACCTATAGCAATGACTTCAAACAGTCAAATTACGAGTTGTGGATAGGTATTTAAACCATCCCTTCAAAAGTGGTCGAACATCATTACTGTTGATTTTGCTGTCAGACGTGTCGCATTCCTGCCACTAACTCTGTCGTTACATACTAGAACACACTTTCGTCCTATCCAAAGTGTCAACTTCCGCTCATAAGAAGACGTTCGATCGCTTACCTTAGTATCCTACTTATCTGGCAATCTAGTCCCTTTACTGCCTATTCACAGAAAATGTTCTAATCAAGGGTATCTACTAATCATTTATGAATTTTTATGCACAGTACCGTAAAGTACAGCTCAAATGGGATTAAACACATTGCAAGTTAGTGTATGCCCCTTCCTTGTTATTGCTTCCTTGAGTGCTCTATTCTGTATCATGGCGAGACAGTAACAGTATAGTGAATCAACATTTATTTTTACAAAATGAAGAAGATCACGGTGCAGATAGTTATCACTTTGTTCCAACAAAGTAACACCTCATGTTTCGGAAGTCTTTTGGCTACTTGCCTAGCATAGACCTCAAGATTGTTCGTAAGAAGACCTGAGCAACTTAAATTAATCGTCCATGGACGTAATTTGTGATCTCCTTCTAGACTACATGACCTTAGAAAAATTACACTATTTGGCAAAGTAAACAAACATGTCACGTAAAAAAGTATGACCTAGGCAGGTGACACAGTAGTATACATTGACAGTGTAATGTGGTCTAAGGTCGTCCATAGCCATGATCAAAACTTGCTTCAGCCAAGTGCATGCTGCCAAAGACAAAAATATATTTAAATGGACACGTTATGTTAAAATAAATTATTAAAACACCCAAAAACTACACAAAATTGGTTCGGAAATTACAAGCACCACCAAGCAAAGCAAAAATAATTAGCACTTATGTTTTCACGACGCACTATAATAAAATTTTCAGCTTCTAGGCAGCCTTTTCTCAGAGACAATTTTAGACGTTATCAATAGTTTATAGGATTAATATACAAACAGTATTCGGCCCATTTTAAACGGCCTTGAGATAGTCTGCTATTACGGCTGATGATAACAAGCAAACCAATTAAGTGTTTCCTTGATGTAAGCAAACAGGAAGCTTAACATCTTTATGATGATTGGATAATAGATTGTACTTTTTAGCCAGTGTTTTGGAGCTTTCCGCATGGAGTTAACTGATGGTCGGATATCGGAATTTGGATACTGCTTTTATACGCCACAAGAAATTCGGTCACTTTCTGTCCTAGAAATATCGTCAGATGCGACTTTCGACAGGTTTACTAATCGTGGTATTGACGGAGGTCTACATGACATGGCACTTGGCCCATGCAATGAAAAAGATATTTGCGCTCATTGTGGGCTCGGCTACGTCCAGTGTCCAGGTCATATGGGCCACATAGAGTTTTTTAAACCGGTTTACAACCCATTGCTTTTTGACCTCGTCGTTCGCGTAAGAACAGGCTGCGTGCTTAAACGTTTTTTATAGCTCTTGAAATCCTTTTGCTTCTCGTGCTTTAGAATCTACAATGTTGATCTTCTATCGGCCTGTTTAGAGCTACTCGGCTTGCCCGGTAACCGTTTTCATTTCACTCTAATGACTAGATATTTTACTTCCTAGCAAACCAAAGCCCTCAGAAATAGAAGATCTTAGAAGTTTACCTTCCGCTGAATTGCGCAAGACTGCTATTAGAGCCATGTCTACCCGCCCGCGCATTCCATGCCGCAACTGCAGTTCCAAAGCGTGGATACCAAAGCACATAAACCACCAACAAATCGTGATGAGACCGGTATCGGACTCCCGAAACTCAAGGTTTACCGGCGTTAACAAATATAATGTGTGAGTCAAAGTTTTCTTTTTCTTTTGGTCTAAATTTTTACAGACGTTCGAATCATTGTCAATCACTGCTCGATTCTTGGCTACTTTTCGTGCTTTAGCGGAAAGCTTTTTGTGCATTAACTTAATGGTTTGTTTTGACGTCTTAGTGGCGATGGAGATACCGAACACGAGCCAGGAGAGCTGGAATGTTGGGCTGCAATAGAAGCACAGTTATTGTGTGATAAGGCCACCTCCCGCCCTGTAGTGTCATTTGAGGATAGTACCTCACAAACTACAAGGATCGAATTCGACGATATTGCTGAATCCGTCCGTGAAAGACTTAAAGAAATATCGTCTGGCCAACAAAAAGAAGCATTTTCATCTCCCGGCAAGTTGCAATTTGTACCACCATTTTGCCATGCATAGTAGCCAACCATTCCTAGGCTGTCAGTCTTTGAACTTTAATTGAAGTGATTAATTTTATTTGCGACATTGACCTTCCGATGGGTTTCTTGAGGTAGCGTGCTTTGCTCGGCTGCCTTTCCATGTTATGAGTTTGGTGTAAGCAGTTAATTATTAGCTCCAAGACTCCCCTCTCCACACACCAGTAAGTTTGGGTAAGTTAGTTTTTGTTCAGCCAATCTGCTGCCTATATCATTGTCCGTGGTGTCGATTGTACTGAAGTCAGAATGGTCCTCTTAAAATTTCCTTTCCCCAACTTCATTTGGCTCTTATTATCTAAACGCTGCAGAGTTAGTCCGAGATATGCTTCGATGCGTGTGGCTGCAGGATTCTTCGATTCTTCGGATTATTTTCCCGTTCCTTCATGCTGCGTCGGCAAAATTCCACTACGCGACCGATGTTTGCTTTATGGAGGTCATGCCCGTCTCCCCATCATTTTGCCGATGGGTAAGTAGTAACGAGTAAACGGGTCTGTAATTCAGATGTGTCTTTTTCACTTGCACTTTGAAAACGAGGAAGGCACGACCTTTGGGTAGCAAAAGCGCGTTCCTAATGGTTTATTGGTATTCTGGGTTTCGATGCGTTGCTATCTCTTCTGACATTCACACAATTTAGAATGCTGTCGAATTTCCTTAGCCATTCCTTATAAAACTTCCTCTTTTTATTACGGATTTCACTTTCAGTGGCATTTATCAGCCCTAAGTGTTAGAGGTCTGGCTAAATTTAGTGCTCGTGCTGCACAAAGTAGGTAGGCGGTTGGCAGGTTTTCTTCAAAACAACTTTTTTCATCGCCTTTAAAGCCTCGCATGGTAAACGGAATGGCATACGAGCACCCAGCAACGGCGCTTTTCTCTCGTGTCATCAATCGGGCAATCGCTCTTCGGCAAATAGCCGAGTACTTGAAGGAAAATGACTTGGTAGGACCACAAGGCCTCTCGAAAACCTCTGACGTTGTTTCGGCTGCCAAACAGGCCCAACTGTCGACGGTAGACGGAGCTGCCGGTCACAAAATTTCGCCCACCTTAATGACTGCAGAGCGTGCTACTGCCGCACTACACGTAGGTCTTTTGCGTTCACTTTGATCTACTCGGCTTTCTACTTTTAATGATTTTTTGAATGTAAAACGCATTTCAATCCTAGCGTTTAATATAATACAATCTAACCAACTGTTTTCAAATACTGTGTGATTGGATCACACAAAAAGTGTGTGGTGATTCTTGTCTGCTATTCGTGAAGCTAATGGAGTACTTGAGGAGGAGCTAAACAAGGAACAGGTAGTGACCAATTCACCCATACTAGAAAACACCGTGTTCGATCCCTCCCGGAAACATGTGAAGAGATCAACGGTCCTGAATATGCTACTTATAAACACCCAGTAGCAATCATTTATGATATCATGTTGGCTGATGAGAAGGGTAGATGGATGGCTCAAAAGACCGTTTAATGTATTGTATCGATTTAAAAAGAAATGCCTTTAGAGTTGACCAGAGCTGCTGTTGCAATGGATTTAAAGCGCCTATAAGTGTATGTATTTGTCACCCCATTGTTCTTCGTTTTGTAATTTGCACAGACGTACACGTTAAAAACTGCAGAACAGTCATGAGGTGTTATCCCATGCACACTTTAACTAAACGTACCCAATAATGTGCAAAGTTCCCTACATCAGTGATTGCCTAGGCAATAATTCCGCAGACACATGTCATTTTCTGTCAGAAATTATCCGTCTCCGATTCTTGGACATCTAAATATCTACAGTCGATTGTCCAGGTGTTATTGTTCTGCAATTGTTTGCTGGGCACTTATGTAACAGTAGGCGCAATTGCTATTTCAGAAGTGGGCACTTGGCGGTGCTTATCCAAAAAGACCTTAAATTCTCCCAGCCCAAGCGCACGTGCATTTCGTGTCATTCAAGCAGGACTGCCTTTTTATTTCCAGGCCTCGGTCATATTCCTGCAAGCCGCGGTAAACGCCGTCTACGACGTGAACATTAGCGTCCTGCCCACTGGCTTTGAATCGCGCACCAGAAATGCCACCACGGTGCCCCTGCCGGGTTTGAAACAGCGCCTGGAGAAGAAGCAGGGTCTCTTCCGCATGCACATGATGGGCAAACGTGTCAATTACGCCTGTCGCTCTGTCATCAGCCCCGACCCGAACCTTCGTGTGTTTGAGGTAGAGTTGCCACGCCTCGTTGACACCCGCAGCTTACAAATAAGCCAGCAAAAGTTGAGCGGAAGCCTAAACATCCAGACAAAATTGTTAAGTTATCGATAATGATCATTGGGTGGCCTTCTGCAGGTATAAACCTCCACTGATTTGCTTAGTTCCTACCTTGCTTTTTTTAAATCTCGATTTCGGTCGCATTGTAAGGTTTGGTGTTCTGCTCTTCATTGTTGGCCTTGAAGCAAACACCTTCCTAACCAGCTTTAATATTCAGTTGCAGGTAAATTTCGTGTCCATTTCCACCCGCGTGCTCTGATATTGCATTTTTGGTTTTGAATTACCTCATTTCCATCGCCTCGTTTAAAACACCAAATAGATGTTTCTTTACGTTTCTACTGACAATGGACACCCGTTTTCCTTTCCAAGTTGGAAGTTTCGAAAAATGCAAATTTTTTGGGGTTTTGGTCAATAACATCTGCGGCAGCTGCCTCAAAGTAGCTATCGTCATTATGATCTGTCGTTTGTGTCACGGACGTAATTAGTAGCTCTGAGGGAGGGAAATTCCTAATACGAGCAACTATCTTTGCTCGGGAAGTCTAAACGTCTGTTTTCGAAGTAATCTTGGGTATCTTGTTAGTTCACACAGTTTTCTTGGAAGAAATCCCATAATATGTAGACTTGGTTTGCATATTGATTAAATTAATTAATTTCCAGTCAACTTCCAAGTATAGTCTAATCGCAAAAGTCTGGGTATCGAAAATCACGACTAGGAATTAGCGTAGGCGATGGTTAGTTGCCTTCGAAGTAAACCGATCTAACCACATGGACAGGTGTTCTCACGTTAAGCAGCCAAAACCGGCATCATCGAGTAGCTAGCGTCTCTCGGGTCACGGTTATTACCTCCTGGTTAGGGGTTTTGGCGAGCCGGGGATTTTGCGTAGGCTAACGATGACCGGGGATAGCTGTGGCCGTAGCACTGGAATCCCTAAAGCCCGCCTCCAAGTAAATCCCGTTTTTCATCGATCCTGTTACTTTGCATTTCCGCTACTTGCTGGTGACAGCAAGGTTGCGATTCCGATTATTGTGGCCCTTTCCCACCCAGAGAACTGTGTACAAGTAAAAAAGGTTTTTACCGATTCGTTCGTGTTTTGCCATGTTTAAACCACGTTATCAGTCTCAATTTCTCAAATAAGATTACTAATATGTGTAGGTAACAACGATAGCGCATTGTTGATGTACCATAGTAATTTGAAGAGGTACAATTTGGTGCTAAATGTATCCTGTTGAGATTTAATGTACTTTTTTGCGAGTCATGTTTAAGGCGTTATAGTAACTCTTCATTCGCTCACCGTTGCCTAGGTTGGTGTCCCGCTCTTTATCGCCCTCAAACTAACCTTTCCGGAACCCGTGACGGCTCATAGCATTGGCAAACTGCGCCGACTCGTCAGAACCGGTCCCGACGTGTACCCGGGCGCCATAGTCGTGCAGATGCCCGACGGATCCAAGCAGATCATCCCGCCGGGCAACTCGGAGCCTGCGGTCGCCCGCCGTCTCACCATGTCCAAGCGTCTCGCCATTCCACAAACCGGCGTGCACGACGGCATGCCCATGATTGTGAGTCAGATTTGCGGCTACTCATCACCCACTCGTTTTTTTGCACAAAGTTAATGATATCGTTATATTTCAGACCACACTCCTGACAGTAATAGTTTTGTTTTAAATCTGGCTCCGTACCCATGACAGTCCAGAGTCTTTTTTTCACGGGCAGTGACGTAAGTCTTTGTTATGCTAGAGCACCGAGTTAACTTCGCTTTTTATGAAACAGGTCACGTATTGCCTTTTGAGTCATGTTAAAGTCGGCGTGCTTGGTTAATCGGAGTTGATGTAGCACCGTGCCAGATTGAGGTCTCTGCACGGCTTCTCCACAAGTTCGTACTCCGTAAAGAATGTGCTTGAACACAAAGTCCTGTTTGAGTGCAAGCGGGGAGCACTTTTGGGAACTCGGGTTTGTGTCGAAACCTTATCGGAACCGTAAATGTCAGTCACGTGTCGCTCTGATTCGCTCTCGCTTTGCTGCGAATGAGTTGAACCGGTTACGAGGAAATTGGGGGCTTTGGAAAACGGCTCTTCTCGTTTCGATTTTGCGATGATGATCTTGGTCTTCGCTGGAGAGCATATAGGTATCTAAGAGGTCGGTGTGAATAAAGAACGGGCTGTCACGATGAGGTCCTGCTTTGTAGTATAGTTAGGTTCCAACTGGGGATTGATACATTGAGGCGGGCTCTTGGTGTCCGTGAGTTTAGGGATAATGTGGGTGCTGCCGACTCCGGAACAACTAAAAGGGTCAACGTTGGAGCCGGTGTATTTTGGATTGCCGGTACTAAAGCCTTCTCCACCCTAACTTTCAAACATCGTTCCACAAATCTTAACTGAGAACCGTCCTTAGACTGATTCGGTGGTTTCTTGATTTTCCGAGTAAGATTGGGAGTGTGTATTTATGAACGCTTAAATTCATTCTAAAACGGTGACATCTAGAATTGCATTGCCTTATCATGCGAGCCATTTTCCCGAGACTACGATTTGAACCCTTTGTGGAGCGCAAGCAACCCCAGTTCGTATTTACCTTTCTGATGCTCAAATTCATGCACAAATCTGATAGTAAATCAGGTAGGTTGTGTTCACTGCAGACTGTGATTGGCGGAACCGTCCAGCATCGCGGTATGCTTTTCGTACACCTCAATGAATTTGCTGTACACTTTTCGATAGATTGGTAACCGATGCGCATCTTGGGTGAAAGCGTTGTACGACAGTCTAGGATTCCGGCGGAACCTGAGAAATTTTTCGCTATTGTATTTCGACTTCATAATTGTAGTCGTTGTAACGCCACTGCTCGTGCTCAATGCAAAATACTATGAACCAGGTAACCACGCATAAGTGTGGCTCATATTCCTGCGCGTCAATCGGTCACGCGTGTTCGAATTTTCTGTAACGCTGTCTCCCCGAACTCTTGAATTTTGACTTTTTTCGCGTTTTATTTTCCAGTGAAAAATCCCTGTCTACTTCCGGTTAGGATCTCACTGTACCCCAGACCAGTTGCTCACACAACATAAAAATTAATTATTTAGTCCTCACGGGGCGTTTCATTGCGTCATAGCCCTTCTTTTCTAGGAACAAACGTAAATGATGCCTCCCCACGGGGAAATTAAATCGCCAAATTGACTGGAAATTCGCTAAAGCTTTGTCCCCCCAGGTCTCGTCACACAGCTTCCAAGCCGCATGTCGAGTAATGTACAGTTGTACCAACCCCTCCCCCCCACATACCAGATTCTCTTTAAACTGCCACAGTGAATCCGTTAATTTTCGCGTAGGAACGTAGACCAAGTTATAAACCCTGTTTGCCCGCAAAACGAGTGATTCTCCCGTGTGTCAGCGTAGGTCGCTGTTGTAGCCACGACGAGGCTGCGTGATGATACCCATGACAAATTTACATCATCGATCATTTTGTGTTGCTTCTTTTCGCAGAAAAGAGGTCTTAAACCCGCCGTGATGTGATGCCTTTCTCTCTCCCTTATTACAGGTGCACCGGCATTTGGAGGACGGGGATTACTTGGTGATGAATCGTCAGCCCACCCTCCACAGGCCCTCTATTCAGGCCCACAGGGTGCGAATAATCCAAGCCCCTGGGGCGAAGACCCTGCGTCTGCACTACGCCATTTGCAAGGCCTACAACGCCGACTTCGACGGCGACGAAATGAACGGGCACTTCCCGCAGACCTACCAGGCCAAGTCTGAAATGACCCAATTGGGTAGGTTTTGGGTGACACCAGCGTGTTAACCTTCATATTCGTTAACAAC